TATATATATATATATATTTTAAGGCTAAGATGTGACAGGTGGCATACATTCAAGTTAAACCAGTCAGGTTTACGTTCAGTGCAAACCGAAACACTGGTTTTCGGTGAGACACACATGGGCGTGTGGGTGGACATGCTGCCCTAAGACAGCTGGTGAGCCATAGCTTGAGAGGCTGGCTCTTCAGGTGAGGAATCAAGTGAAATAATAAGCTAAGCAACCAAAAATCCACTGTATGCTTCAATATCAGGCTTGCTGCGTGAACCCGGTGACACCAAGTCAGCATGCAGATGCCCATAACAGTACTTGGGCTTTTAAAAAAAAAAAGAGCAGGAAGACAACAGCCACTGCTTGGCAAACTGTCCGCATCAGTCTAGCTTGTGTGCTGTGATTGGAGGAATTCACGATGTTACCATGGACCCTTTTTATTGCTGCCCCCATTTTACCTCCACATAGGTCGCACCCTCACCTTTCTCTGATAGCTGCTTTACATTAAATGGCTCGGCAAGTACATGCAAGTTAAACGATTTAAAGAGATAATTCAAACTTTAGTATTTACCGACTTTTTTTTCTCCATCAGAATGATGTCCAGATTTCACTGGGTTAACGACATGGAGGAAGTTACACGCCCCAGCTCACAGTGTGCGTGTGAGTGTTTAGTGAATCATACCATAATGCGCCACTCCATCAGGTGAAAACCCCCTGCCAGTAACAAGGTAATCTTTATGGCGGCAATTGTGCAGCGACATGTCATGTAAACTCCAAAGTCAGAGAGAGATAGGGGGGGCAGAGGGAGAGACCGAGAGAGAGAGAGAGAGAGAGAGAGGATGAGAGAGGGAGGGAGGGAGGAAGACTTTTTCTTTCCAATTCCAACGTCTGTCCTTCACTCGTTTTCTGATTTTGACCCGGAATACAGGCTGGAGTTAAGCCGACTTTCCCTGAAATCCATGCACATCACCGGTAAGTCTGAAACGGTCTCCTCTCACTGGACGGACGCCTATAGCCTGCACTAACTTACATATTCGAACTGATAAACTTTTTTATGGCGTCTGACAAAAGCAGTTTATACGGGCATGCATGTGTTTGTGGGTTGTGCTAAAAAGCCTAGAAGTTTTCATGCGAGCGGCTCAACAGGTGCTTCTCTGCTCACCCACTTGTAGTATTTCACATGAGAGCCATTATTCATTTTGATAGATAGGCTCCATCAGGTCGCAACAGGGCAGAAGATAGCACGATTAATCGTAATAGTGTTCCCGCTCTTTTGTAATGAAATTTAGAGAGGCAGTGGTCATTACTGATAATCATGTTGGATAATTAGTGTTGGATAAATATCCTGTCCTTTTCTGGTGCGATAAGAAGTGTGCGCGGCTCACATGCGGAAAACACGGAGCAGTTTTGCGGTTTTTTTTTATTTTTTATTCTGCTATCCGTCTCTTGTTATCTTGTTATTCTTTGCTCATTCGGTGAGTAATAAGGTTCTTAAATATTTGTGTTGCGGAGGCAGTTAATGTATAAACAAAGAGGCTATAAACAAAGCGAGAAAAATGTTTACAATCACACATTTCAGCTCAGATTCAGATTCAAAGCCAAAGAGGTTGGAGCTTATGATAAATCATCCAAGTGTCTTTTAATTGAGTGTCTTCAATTAAAGCGTCCTATCTTTGGAGACTTAACATCCATCATCCAGGACAGTGCTTCAGTAGCCTCCAATACTTTCAGTCTTATT